ATTTAGAAATGATATCAAAAATAATAACAAAAATGCAGTCCGATCCGCAATCACGATCTAATTTGATGAAAAAATTTAATTATTTGACATTATATTATTCTACACTTCATGAGATTATACGTAAAGATCTTAAGAAAATTATTCACGAAGCAATATTCTAAAAAAATCATAAATAAATAAATATTATCGCCAATATAATATATTGAATCCAAATAATGCCTAAGAGGTACCTAAGAGATCACCTTTCAAGGTCGTCGCATCATGTGACGCCTGAGAGTCACCATTCGAATGCAAAGAATTAACAAATAAAATTGGAAACATTAACGTATATTTAATTTTATATATGTATATTTCTAATGATTGGAAAGTATTCGTGTCCGATAATGTTGGATGGATGAAAGCTCATTAGATGCATGCATGTATATATTGAATGTTCTTTTGTGACTGATGTGTTTGTGTAAAAGCTAGTGCTTGTATCTTTTTAACGATAAGAGAACTGTATTACGGTACGAGAACTGGGTCTCTCATAATATCAATTTAGGTAATCAATTTAGGTAATCGTGTCCGATAATCAGAACACGGTGCATTAGAATTATAAGAAAATTATCTTATTCGTCATATTCGGCAGTTAGAATATAGATGTGTTCACAATATTAATTCACAATATTAACGAAATATTAATTAAATTTATATATTTATAAATGTTTTTTCACATTATGCTATAATAGGTAATCATATCCAATAGTTATAGCATGATATATATTCCTTGTTATAAGAAAAATTATTTATTGATCGTCAAAATATGTTTTCACAAGGAAATATTAATATAATTACATTCTCTCTTATTTTTTAGTGAAGACTTATATCTTCAGAAATCTCTTCCAAATTCAATTAGGAGAGTCATAGAAAAACACGATAATAATCAATTAGATTACATCCTGACTTGTAATATAAATTAAGAAAATTTCTCAGACTAAGCTCCTAATCTGCATCATATTAAAATACGTTAATACTCAAAGATTGATTAGCATATTTTTATTATAGATTTCAAACTGGGATAAATGTTGGTTCCTGTTGAATCAACTATATTTAAAGTCACTTTTGAGATAGTGTTGTACTCCAAATAAGCTAAAATATATCAAAAATATATAATTGAAAGTGATAGAATCTAAATTTTTTTTAAAAACAGCAGTTCTGTCGGACAATATCATTTTTTATTTAATTTTAATGATGATAATAATAAAAAAAAGTTTCTGCGCAAAGAATTTTACCGAATAAGTTAATCATAAATCTCGCGAGTAATAAGTGCTCCCAAACAAAATAATTGAATTTAACTTAGTTTATGTTAGATATATGATTATAGTTCTAATTCGATTATTAGAAACAGTCAGTCAATTACAGCAATAAATGTAAGTACCAAATTTAAGTTCATTTAATTATAAGTTGGTCTTAATAGTCATAAAGCCATAAATTGGAAATGAAGCTGCTAAATATTATTCTATATTATTCTATATTAAATTAAATTATTATATTATTCTATATTAAATTAAACAAAAGAATTTATTAAGAAACAAAATAAAAATTAAATGAAGTATTAATTACTTATTTAAATTAAATTATTTTAAATTACTTATTCATTTAATTTGTTTGAAGTTTTTTAAAAAAATTTAATAATAAAACTTTTATTATTAAAAAGAAATTAAAACTTGATAAAAGAATAAAAACTCATAATTATATGGAAAATAAAAAAGTAATAAATATTCAAAAATATAATAATACAGCAATTAATATTCATATGAAATATATATATAATGTATGAAAATTTTATCTTTTTTATTTCAATTATAATATATATTTTATATATTTAATTTTAAATAATATGATCTACTAATTACCTTAAATATTAATTGTTAAATAGTATTTTTGTTTAACTAAAGAGGTTTAAATAATTTTAACATCAAGCATAATATATTGTATTGAATGCACTAACTTCCCATCCAAATCGCATACAATCCGATTATCTCGACACTCTTTCGAAACGAAGTCAAAATGCAAATTAAATCCTAAGTGTGTATACATATTTGATAAAGAAAAAAGTAAAAAGTAAAAGTATTAAGTTTAGTTTATTATATAGTATTAAGTTTATAAAAGTTATTAAGTTTAAAGTTATCGAAATTTTTGATATTATAAAATTATCAAATCATAATAGATTAATTTATTAAGATATCAAATATTAAGTGAATGAATTATCATCTCAAATAATTCAAATTTCTTAAAACTTTGACAAAAATATAGATATAGTTATCCAACTATCATATAATAACAATTAATCTGCAGATTTTTATGCAATTAATGCATAGAAAATATTATCATATTTTAGTTTAAAGAATCATTTTTTTAAATTTTACTTTCAAAGCTATATTTCGTTTGTATAAAATATGCAATAATTTACATAAAAATCCGCAATATAGTATTAATAATACTATTATTTGTTTAAAAAATTTTATATTCTTTTTTATAAATAGATAATATCTTTTCAATTTTATATCTTTATATTCATTTAAATTATTTTTAATATATACAATATATTTATATATTACATTAATAATAGATAGTATAAATATGTATGATGAAGATTTAATATATATATATATAAAAATTACATATATAATTCTTAGATTTTATATAAACATACGATATATTACGAATTTTAAACAATATCGCAGAAAAAGATAAAAATCATTTGGATTTAATTAAAATTTATACTCTAATATATGATTCTAAATAAAAAAAACAAAAAATAATTGCAAAACAAGAAATAATTAGATTTTACATTTTATAAGAAGCTTTTTTTATTTTCTACTATTTATTTTATAATTTATTTTATATATATATAAATATATATATTTTATATAATTTATTTTATAATTTTCTACTTTTCTTACTATTACTATTCTCTTACTATTCTTGTTTTTCTTATTAAATATTATAATTTATTAAATAAAAATAAAATTAAAAAACGAAAAGAAATGTATAAATTTTTAAAATATAAATAAAAAAACGAAATAAATGACAATAATACTGATTTTGAAATTAATTTAATCTTTTCTTTTACTTTCAAAAGCTCGAATGATAAAAATTTAAATAAAAGAAAAAATTTTTATAAAATTATATATGTTTTTTTTCTATATTTCAATTAATATGCATAATAATATGTACAATATACAATAATTTTAATTAATAATAGTTAAAATTGTTGTTAAATTTAATTACTTATAATTAACGAAGATATCAAAATATGAAATACTATATTTATTGTATTTATCAGGATCAGTATCTTGTTGCAGTGGTATACATGAGAGATTTGTTTCACAGGAAGGATCGAAAACCTCAATAGCGTTGTTATCACGTCCACAGTTTGCAAGTTCAATTCGAAAACATGTCTTACAGTATTAATGTATAATTCATAAACATGTTTATGAATTTCGATGAATATGTTCTTTATCATTTGATCATATCTATTTTTCATATANTATTTGTAAGTAATATTGAATATTTATATTAATTATATTTGATTATTTGAAAAAGATAAATTTTAAATTATTTTAATTATATAACATATAAAATATCGTATAAAATTTATTTTATTTATTGAATCGATTGGATAAATAAAAATATCATAAAGTCATTATATAATTATCATATAATATCATAAATTAGATTTTTTAAAACAAACTTCAATCAATCACAAAAATCAATCAATTTTTATATATATTATAAAATTTATTATTTTATTGGAAACATTATTAATATATCATATATAATATAAATTTTAAATATAATAATTAAAAAATATAAATATAAAATATATTATATATCAATATATAATATAAATTCAATAATATATAAATAATATTTATAACAAATTTATGAATTTAATTGTTTTTAATAAAAATTTTTTAATGGAAATTTTTCTCTTACAATTAATGAATCTTATTCATTTATTCAATATATTTCAATATATCTCTTAGAATTCAAATAATTGAAAATTATAAAATGAATAAAATTCTTCAAAAATTAAATTTAATTAATAAATATTATTTTATAAATATCATCTCTATTTATTTCTATTATGTTGCATATATTGCAAAATACGATGTTGATTTATTTGTTACATCTTACATCTATTTGTTACATTACATCTTAAACAATCATATCAAATCTCAAATGTAAATACAAACTATTTATTATCCATCCGTTCCATTTAAAATTCCGATCTCACAGAATTTGAAACCACAACACGAACATCGCGTGCATCATGCATACCAATGAGACGGACTGTACGTCATCTTGAAAGCTGTAAAAGTACGCATTCAGAAATTCTCATTGAAAAACCGAACATTCAAAGAACTCCAAACTCTATCGAGCTAATGCATCGATAATAAAGTTCAAGTTCAGTGGAACTTCACTTTATATGAATTAAATTTTAAAAGTGTTTATTTGACCATTTGAATTTTAATCGAATTTTTATTATCTAAATTACTACATCATTCTATTATATATACTACATCAGTCTATTATATATATCAATCTATAAATATTTTTATAATATAATAGAAATGGAAATATATTTATCTTTGATATAAAATAAGTAAAAAAATAAATATAAAATAAATATAAAAAGTTTATTTTTTACGTTTGCAAAATTGTTTCCAAATTTATAACATTTGTCAACAGTATTATTATGTATTTTAGAGAAAATATTTCGTAAAATCCTCTTATAAAAATATTAATTCGTATTGAACAAAAATAGTGAAGAATCGTGACAAAAATTAAATAAACTTTCATGAAAAATTTAATTATATGAATTTATTTCTTTCAACATATTTATATAAGCAAACTTTTATTATATTTTAATAAAATAATAAATTATAAACTAAACAAAACAAAAGAAAGAGAAAGGATAAAAATTCAACGATTCTTCAATTTCCTTGTTACAGTGTAGTGGTCATACAGTGCGATGTTTTACCGGTGGTCCTCGCAAAAGCCATGAGTCGCAATGTCCAATGCTTCAGAAGCTCGAGAAGCCCGTCCTCTCTTCGTCCACGACAACTACACCGCCGATGACATCAACCAAGTCGACGATTGTGAGAAACCACTTGAACAGCACCTGTAGTGTAACAAATTCGCCGCATCAGAAGAAATTAAGGTTCCATCTGGCAAAAGAAAGAAAAGCCAGTACTACATTAGGAATCATAATGAGCGCTTTCATAGTTTGTTGGTTACCGTTCTTCGTATTAGCTTTGGTCAGGCCATTCCTTAAGAATCCAGATGCTATCCCAGCATTTTTATCCAGTCTATTTCTTTGGCTTGGTTATTGCAACAGTCTATTGAATCCTATCATTTATGCGACTCTGAACAGAGACTTTCGAAAACCGTTCCGCGAAATCCTTTACTTCCGTTGCAGTAATTTGAACCACATGATGAGAGAAGAATTCTATCAGAGCCAATATGGCGATCCTATTAATAATTGCGAAATCAAGGCTGGCGAAATAAACGCCGAACGTCTCAATAATCAAGGTATCGAATCAATCGACATTGCTGCAAACGCTCCTAATGAGAGCTTCCTGTGATCCGGGGATAACCTCGATCGTCGAGCCAATCGCAAGATCCTTGAAACAAATTTGAATCCACCATAATTGATTTTCATTTCAATTTCGTGAATAAAACACTGATTTTAGAGTATTCTATAAATTGATTCGAATACTAATTTAAATTTTTTAAATTTGATTTTCACTATATAACTATGATGTAATAATTCATCGTGTTATACATTTAGCGCGAGAAATTGGAAGAATGAATTGAATCAAGCTGTATTTTAATTATAAAAAATTCAAGATCTAATTAAAAATAAAATAAAAAATTTTTCTTGAATTAATTAAGTATAGATTGTTAAAAATCGTAATTCCACATTCAATAATCATGTCATATGTTAACACGTTCAATCCGGATAATGACTTAACACACAAAATACTTTATACAAAATACAAAATAGAGAAATAATTATAATGAAATAAATCTTCTATATAATCCTTATAAAATCAAACTTCATTCAAAATATATAGATGATATAACATAATTAGAAAATTTACCGGTTGAAATTGAAATAATTTTCTCTATTTTATTTTAATAATAAAAATTTATTAATATTTGCAATTATTTTATTTGTAATACAAGTTTTTTATTTGAAAATTACAATTAGTATTAATTACAAATTAGTATTAATTAATTATAAGTTCTATTATTATTGAGAATTCTAAAACAAAATTAATATTAATGTATAAGATAATATAATACATATACAATTCTAAATGAGTTCAATCTCTTAAAAATGCTTGGTGTAAATAGTCGATATTATGACAAAATTAGTTATCTGTTTGATGCATAATCTAAAAAATGAATCAAACTTATATATTTTTAGTTCGTTAAAGATTCGAATGAAATCCGGATTGAATATGTTAATACTGAATATATTAAATAATTAATCAATTATGTTAAAAATAGATCACTTGAACAGTGGTCGAAGAATCTGTTCCAGAGATATATAGTTATTGGCTCGATTCAATTTTTCACATGATCAGATGTCCAAACAAAACTCGTTAATCTTTTCCGTTTCGTGACAAGAGAAAAAGTGATCTCTGTACTATCTTTGCGAACAGGAAAAGAAAGAACTAGCAAATCGGAACAGATAGTTTAGTCTTCGACTAAACTAGATCATGTGAAGAGTGCGATATCAAGAAGAAGAATTGTTGAAAAAATTCTCTTAGGGTTTAAATGTGATTGTCTCGATTTGGATAATCAAAAATGAAACATTCAAAAAATAGAATGATTAGAAAAGATCGATATTAATATACATTCGCTTAAGGTGTGATATATGAATAAAACAAAATTCATGTTTCGAAAAATCATGTTATATATATTATGTACAGAATATATGATAAACTAATTTGTGTAGTATCGTATCAATAATGCTGAAATATGTAATTAAAAAAAAAAATGAAACATGTCTCGAAAATAAGAATTCTTCCGATTTGAAACATGAAAACGTGTCTACCAGTGCATTCAGTTTTTCGGATAATTTTGATGATTCAATTGAAGATGAAATAGTCAAAGGCATGCATTTCTGAACGATTCAATTAAGAATCGAATCATTGATATTAATTCATAAAAGATACAGAATGTATATTTTAAAATTTAAGAATAATTTATGAAAAATAAATTTTATTAGATTTTGTTCTTTATATTATTTCTGCGATAGAATATTTATTAATTGTAATTAAATAATATAATTGAATTATATTGTTTAAGAATAAATTGAAAAATCTTAAAAATAGTTATATTTGATAAAAGAATTTTGGCTTAATACGACTTATAAAAAAAGGAATATGATCAATCCAATTTTCAACAAATTATTAAAATATAGAAAATTAATAATTTAATTTTCAATATGAATGAAATATTCTATAATTCTCTTTTTAAGAATATTGTATAAATATTATCGATAAAATTGTAAAAAGAAAGAAAAATAAAGAAAAAAAAATAACAAAAAATATATTAATAATTGTAAGCAAAATTTAATACATGAAAAAAAATGAAAGAATAAATACCGATGGAAGTATGAATTGTAAAAATTACTAATTGAAAAATTATCCGTAATATACAGCAAAAATCATCAAGAATTATTTCTTGTATTTTTGAAATGTGATTATAAAATGTTTTCTATTTGAATCGTTAATGATATAATGATAAAAATTATTTCGAAAAATAATGAAAAATAATAGAAATAATGAAATAATTGAAGATTAAATAAGATATTATTTTTATGAAAAAAAGAACTATAATATATAAGATAAAATAATTATGTATTTCCAAATTTTAATAAAATAAGAGGATTGGATTAAATACAGATAAGGTAAACACAAAAAGAAAAATAGATCAAGTTTTGGATAGAATTGAAACAAACGTGAGAATATTTAGAAGAGAAGGTGATAGTGCGTCAAGGAATTTCAGATATATCCTCGGGATAGAGACCACAATCGATCGGAAGCCGATGGAATTGAATTTTCAACATTGCCAACGGGCTAATACGGATGCAGGGAATCTTTGAATTTTCACGACGTTCCAAAATGAAAAATTTATATCGCGCGTTAGTGGATATATCCTATCTGAACAGGCAAACAAAAATTAAAGAAAAAAAACGATAATAGAAAATCTATAATACTTTTAAGAAAAACAATGATCGATTTTGAAAAATGAAAATTGAAAACTTGAATTATAATTTTAAAGATTTAGTAATATGAAAAAAAAGAAAATCTAGAAGATCATTATAATAAATAAAATTTATAAATATTAGTTTATTTGTATTGCCTTTTTAAATTATTTTTTTTTTATAAAATTAAAAACAAAGTAAATCAATATAGTAAATCAATATCTATATACATTATATATCTGTAATATGCAGAAATAATCCATTATAATACAAAAACAAAAAAATATTATTAAAACATATTTTAAAAAAGCAAGATAAATTTGATGAAAAAAAAATAAGTAAAAAAAATATACGTACAATTGATTGAAATTGACAGAAATAAAAAGACAAAGCTATGGTTAATTTAAATCAATGACTAGACAGAATCCAAATTAAAAAGTCAAATTGTAACCAAATTAACCCGCAAGGTTTACCAACACATAGCAGAGTATACAAATCAAAACCTTCCACAAAAAAATAAAAAGAATCATTTTCAAATAAATACACTTTCACGATTGTTCTGAGAAATCTGTGATTTTTATAAAACATTCCTGTCATGACAATCTTTCAAAATCGTAAAATAAAAATAAACAAAAAATAATGCTATTTTAAAATTATTCGATAAAATCAATGTTGAAAATCTTAATTGTGTAAAAAAAAAAGAATCGAAAAAAACATATGTATGTATCTAAATCATCCCACAAATAAAATTGTTTTAGGGACTCAATTTTAATTATACAATTATTTATCATAAAACTTTAAAACGAAATCAATTAATGTTTATTATAATATTGTTCGACCAGTTAAAATAACAATAGCAAATATTGAATAATATAATCAATAAATAATGCAGATATTTAATATAGATATTATCTCCATTATGTTATTTTAAACTAACAGTAATAACTTTCAAATATATTTTATTTATAATAGAATCTTTTGAACAACTTTTAAAATCTTTAAAAATGATTAGATTATATAAATTATCATTAATAGAGTTTTTCAATTCGTAAGACAAACAATTGTTTAAAAAAAAAATCTAAAATTAACTTATTTAATAAATTTTTTATTAAAATATCTTATCTACCATTGTTTTATTTTTCAATAATATATATTTTCAATATATTGAAATATTTTAGGTTTTTTACGTCTTTTAAATAAAATTAGAAAACTCTATATGCTTTGTAAAGATTCAGAATTAGATCTAATTTATTCTTTTCTCTCTTTATAATGAAAATATTATGAAAAAAATAATAAAAAAAAAAATTTCAATCTTCATATAAATATGTTTTAAAATATAATTTTATATAAAATTATAATAATAATATTAAATAGAAATATTGAATAGAATATTTTAATTAAAAGACAGACGATAATTCTCGTGAATACTTTAATATATTAATAATTAAAAATAAATACAATTTTTTTATTATTATTATTTTTTGAAAGCTTTTAAAGCTTTTAAAACCATATTATTTATGAAATAATTTAATACTTACACTGAATCATAATTGATTCAAGACGTACTAATATATAATAAAATCGATAAATATATAATAAAATCGAAACTTCTCTCAAATACATTATTATATCGATTAAGATTCGAGTTTCTGAAGTCATATGGCCAGTTTGTCTAGACAATATTCAAGTAATGGCATGTACAGAAGCAACAATAAAATTTACAAAACATTAGAAGTAGTTGGGATCGATTTAATTCCGATTGAAACGAACACAACGGCAAAATCCAATCCGAAAATTCAGTTGTGAGCGATGATGCGTTTGATTCATGAATATACTCATGAGTATGGCACACGCAAATCTCTTCGAAATAATCTTCCGCCGATCGGAAGATATGCGGACAAACGTTTATAATAATTTATAATAATTTCTTTAAGCTGTTGAATAAAATAAACAAAAAATAATGCTATTTTAAAATTATTCGATAAAATCAATATTGAAAATAATAACAACAAGATGAAATAATTATTATTGAATCTAATTTTGCTATATTTGAAAATATTTCACATTCGATTTATTTGATTATTACATGCAACATACAATATTATTACATTTAGTTTTAAATTATGAATTTAATTTATAAATTCAATGCAAAGACAATCGCAACTTATTAAAAAAAAATTTAAATCATCTTAAAAAATTTTAAAAACTATAACTTGAAATTTTTATTTAAATGTTTGAACGTTATTTTACATATATATTTAATCTATTGATAAAAATGTAAAACTTTACATTTTGAATCGATAAATATGTCGCAAGTTTATTCATGACTTTACAACATGATAAATAAAAATAAATTTATACTAT